ACAATTTTTCTTATTATTCTAAAAGAATAATTATGTTATTATTTCTAAAAAATGATTTTCTTATAATTTCAAAAGAATGATTATTTTATCATTTTAATAAAATGATTCCTTTATTGTTTTAATAGAATGATTTCTTTATTGTTCTAATAGAATGATTTCTTATTGTTCCTAAGAAATGATTCTTTTATCATTCTAATAGAATAATTTTCTTATCATTCTAAAGGAATGATTTCTTTATTATTCTAATAGAATGATTATTTTATCATTCCTAAAGAATGATTCCTTTATCATTTAAATAGAATAATTTTCTTATTATTCTAAAAGAACAATTATTTTATTATTCCTAAAGAATGATTTTCTTATCATTTTAATAGAATGATAATGTTATTATTCTTAAGGAATGATTTTCTTATTGTTCTAATAGAATGATGATGTTATTGTGTCTAAGAAATGATCTTCTTATTGTTTTAATAAAATAAAGATATTATTATTCCTAAGAAACAATTTTCTTATCATTCTAATAAAACAATAATGTTATCATTCCTAAGAAATAATTTTCTTATTGTTCTAATCAAACAATAATATTATCATTCTTAAGAAATGATTTTCTTATTGTTCTAATACACCAGTCAGAATATTTTCAGTTTGACCAAATTTTGGATAGGCATTTTTGATCTGAACTATAACTGAAATCTGTCTGAAATTAACCGAATTTTATTTCTGAACTTTTTTTTGTATATGTTAAAGATCACACTATCACTCAATCAAATTTTGACTAAATTTCGATAAACTTTGGCAATAGCTTTCAAATAAATTTTGACTAACCTTTATTATATTGAAATACTGATTTTCAGCTAGCATTCAATTATTTTTTTAATTCCAAAATTTGTAATAAACTCTTATTATATTTATTAAATTTATGAAATTACAAATTAACAAAAAATACTATTTTATTAATTTTAAAATTTTAATAACGCATAAATGCATAAAAAGCCCACCAACAAATAATAAAACCTCAACAATCTAAAAAATATAATCTAAAAAATATAGCCTAAAAATATAATCTAAATAAAATAATCATTTGTCTTATACTATAATTAAATAACATAGTAAATAAATGAATAATTAAACGTTAAATTATATTGAAATTTATAATAATTACCCGCTTTCTCTTTGTCCTTATCTTTCATTAAGGCATTATGAATTATTCCCATAGTAGAAGATTTGCTCTGATGTTCCTCTTCTACACTATATATAATATGCTGCATATTTTGATTTTTATACATATCAGTTTCATTTATATCTCTTGTATCAGTCATTTCTCCTATATCAGTATCGTACACAATATTACTGGCTTGATCTTTGTATGTCCAACTTGAAGTATTACTTAAAACAGGAAGGTCAAAATGCTGATATGTGTTATTATAAATCCTAGGTTTTGTTAGTTATGCAGTCTGTAAAGTTAATAGATAGGGATTTAGAACATTTCTTAATAGATTCTTAAACTAAAAAAAAAATACAAATAAGTAAAACTAAAAATATGCAAGTAAGTTTTATTATAAAACAATTATAAGATGAAATCATCAATCAGTATCAAACCTTCTTAGACCTCCAAGAGCAATCATAAACGCATATGAGACGTTTGCTAGATGGATTTTCCTCATCAGTTTCACTCAACTCAGGTGAATGATACCTTCTGTCTTTTAAAACTCCAAGTAATTCTTCACAATCATATTTAGTTAATTCAGGATTTTTTGTCATAAAAAGGGTTCTCGTGTCTTTTATACGATGAATTTTTTTCTAATAATCATAATAGAATTCGTTAATGCTATATAATTGTTAAAAGATCAACCAAATACCAAATTTTGTACATCTTCTCATCGTCTATTGGCATATAAATGCCGATCGTTGCTGTTGATTCTTCCTTTTTTTCTATAATTATTTCTACTGTGCCTAAACTTATGAAATGACCTGAACCATTTTGTTAGCTGATCATGCGAAGGATGAAAATTCAGTTTTAAAGATTTAATAAGTTCTAAAATTAAGCCTCTTCTTATTTTTATATTTGCTTGACTTGAAAATGTTTCATCATATTTCAAATTAAATTCAGAAAGAATGGTCTTCAAAATTGCTTTCATTTCTATCTAAATTATAAAATGAAAATTCAATAAATATTAATTAACAAATAATTATTTAAAAGTTATACAGACCTCGCACTTTTTTCATTCATGTCGCGTGTATTATTGTTGATATCATTATCATCTAAATCACTTTCATTTGAACTACTTTCATAATCAGACTCAGACTTAGAATGTTTACATTTATGTTTATATGTTCGCCTTTTCTTTCTTTTTAGCTTTCAAATTTTTTCATGATTTTCATACTGATCGATTTTTTCTGAAGTTCATCATTTTCTCAACTGAATTCCTTGTTGACTATCATTAAAGTATGATTGAATTCTTTCAAGTCTTGTAACTCTTTGGTGACTCTGGACAATTTTCAGCGTAATTTTTTATTATTAGTTTTTAATATTGCAATTTCTATTGATAATAAAATATAAAGCATTATTAATAGAAGTAAATAATAAGTAAATAATTAAGAATCAATAATTAAATCATTTAAAATTACCCCCGCTATCTGATAGTTTCTCAACGTGAGATTCAACCTGATTTTGACATAGAATAGTTCTAGGTAAACGAAGATTTGGAATTAACATCAGAACATCATGATTTATATTAAGTTGAGATAGAGTAGAAGATGTTCGTGATGATGATGTAGATTGCAAAGGAGAAGGAGTTGTTATTGTTCGTAATAATAGTGTAGGATATTATAAAGGAGAAGGAGTCATTGTTGTTCGTGATGATGGTGTAGGTTATGAAGGAGAAGGGTCATTGTTGTTCGTGATGATGGTGTAAGTTGTCTCGAAAGAGTAGATTTTAAAGACATTGTGATTTATGATGATTTAATTGATGATTTTGGTTTAGTTTTACATTCTTCTTCCTTTACATCACTAGTAATTACAAGATAGTAATAATCTTTTTCACCTTTACTTTTTTCTTTTTGTGACATATCTCTAATCAAAATGTAAATTATTTTATATTCGAAAAAAAGTTATTACTCTTATTAAAATATTATTAAATTTAGA